ACAAAAATTATTAATAATTATTATCATAATAATTATTAATTATAATAATTATTAATTATAGTATCATGATAATTATTAATTATAGTATCACATCATCATCAGATAGTTTCAGATGCGACGGGAATAAAGATTGTCCTCTTGGCGATGATGAAGGCGACTCTTGCTTGGCTAGTGAGCGACTTTTTTCAATCACCATCATCATCACCATCTTCTTCTTCTTCATCGTCATTATATTCAATATGATCAACATCACTTTTGTCATCGTCACACATCGTCATCGTTATGTTTCAATTTTACTCGTCAGCACAGCTATCATCATCATCATTATCGTCACCACCACCACCACCATCATCCTCAATATCACCATCATCATCATCAACATCTCTATCATCATCATCGTCCTCACCATCTGAAAGGTTGCAGTCCCCCCAACTACTACAAATGCAACATGGGAGGCTGCATCTCTTCCAGGAGCTTGTGTGACGGAAAGTTCGACTGCTTCTATCAGGATGATGAGAATGAAGATGCCTGTGCCTCAACCGGAAGTGAGCAAGATGATGATGGTGGTGGTGGTGATAGTAGTGGTGGTTATGGTAACGGTGGTGATGATGTTGGCTATTATGATGAAGATGGCGCTGATGCAAATGATAACGTGGCTTATCTCGCGGGTGATTTTGATAATGATGATGATGATCGTATCCGTCAACCAATCACAGAGTGCAGCCAGTCGCGCGGGGACTTCCGGTGCAATTCAGGAACGTGTGTTTACAAGGATTGGGTTTGTGATGGCCAGTACGACTGCCCCAGTGGAGATGACGAAACGCAATCTGCATGCGGTCAGTTGTCGCGATGGTCATGATTATGATTACAGTTATCATCATCATCATCATTATTACTATTATTTATCATCATCATCATCATCATTATCATCATCATCATCATCATCATCATCATCATCATCATCATTACTAGTATTATTATTTTATTTTTTCTTCATACTGTACCCACTATCACCGTGCCATTTTGTTGGAATCGGCTGAGTTTTATCTTAAACAATTGTCAAATGAATCAATTAGCAAAATTTGATATGAAACAACCAGTCAATCAATCAATCAACCATCCATCCATCCATCAATAAACCAATCGGTCCATCCATCTATCGATCCATCCATCCATCCATCAATCAACCAATCAGCTTCCTACAAATGCCAACCCGCCGACTTCCAATGCCAGGCCGATAAGAAATGCATAAACATGGAGAAGAGATGTGATGGCTACCCAGACTGCAACGACGCCTCTGATGAATATGGATGCTGTTAGTTAATTTATCATAATTTATTCATTAACTCTTCTTTTTAGGGCCTGGTAATCTATTCTTAAACTTAGTAACTTGTTAGGGTTAAAATTAAATTTTAAAAATCTAGATGTCAATTTAATTTAAAGAATGTTGGTTTCATATTGTAGCAGCTCTTAAAAAAAGAGCAATGTTTTTTCAAAATTTGTATAAAAAATAAACATTTGGATTGATTGATAAAGTGATTGATAAAGTAATTGAATGAGTGATTGATTGACTAATTGATTGAATAATCTAAAAATTTTAGCCTTAATAAACCCTGGACCCCGCAAAAATTTCCACTGATTTTTGTAGCGTAATATTAAATATTTATTTAATGCAAATATTACTTTTAACAAATTAAATAACAATTTAGATCATTTTAAAAATTTTAAATTTGAAAATTAATTCGCGCGCTTCTAAAATTATGGCGCGCTTAAAAAATTTAACACTATTTTTATGTAGCCCGTTAGTATGGGGACGGCGTAAATACTGATCCTTATGTAAGTTATGAATTTATAAAACTGTGGTGTTTTTAAAAAAAAAATTAACTAATTAGTTTAAATCTAAATTTTCGTAAAAATTTCTATGTTGACAACATCTTAGACGACCAGCATTACAATCAATCAATCAACCTCAATCAATTAGTTTATAAAGCACTATTTCAGTTAGTTCAACAGCGCTCCTTAATAAATTTTGCAAACAGATGAGTCTTGAGATCCGCTCTGAACTTAGTAAGGGATGGAGAAGTAGTCAGAGAAGGAGGTAGAGAGTTCCAGAGAAAAAGCAAATGCAGCTTTAGCAAAGGAGTGTTTAACACGAGTTAAGAAAAAGTGACAAGTGAGAACAAGAAGACGATCGTAAACCGGGGCGTTTAGGTTCAATTAATATATATATCTGATAAGTACTTAGGAAATAATTTAGATTGATACTTATACATAAATGTGCAAATTTTAACAATTATTTATATTTTATAGGTAGCCAGTGCAAGAGAACAAGATATGGAGATATATGAGAAAAGAAAGGGGCACGAGCAACTAGACGAGCAGCTGAGTTAAAAGCTTTACTTAAAGGACAGAGCATAGAATCAGGAAGACCGTAGTAGAGCGAGTTACAATAATCAATCCTAGATAAGACTAATGAAGTAACAAGAAGAAAAGGAGTAGGATCGTCAAGAAAAGGCAAAAGTTTTTTTATTCTACGTAGATGAAGTAAGAACTTCAAGGAACACTATTAATCTGAGAAGAAAGAGACATACTAGAATCAATGATAAAGCCTAGACTACGAAACTTGTGAACAACAGAACGCAACAGAAGAAAAACGATTAGAGAGATAAGAAGAAAACCAAGACAAACAAGAATCAGTAATATTAAAAAGAATCTTGCAGCCTCAAGAGAATAGTATGATCCAACAGTATCAAAAGCAGAGGAAAAGTCAAGAACAAGAAGAAGAGTAAGATTACTATTGTCACTAGAGAGAAGGATATCATTATGTATTACAAGCAGTCAAAATTATAATCATGAAATAAATTGAGAAATAGAGAGGTTAAAACCGTATAAAAAAATAGTTTTAGTTTTCTGCCTTTTGTTAATAGAAGAAAGCTCAAAACTTAAATTATATATCGGCATTACGTGAGATGAACCCGAAATCGATCCAAGCAGACAACTACGAAATATTGATTGATTGATCGATCGATCGATCAATTGATTGATTAATTGATTGATTAATTGATTGATTGATTAACTAATTGATTAAATAATTGAAAAATTTTAACTTGAATAAATGAGTATCGTGTGAAATACGAAATAATATTTTAGTCACTAGAGAATACTCTAACGAATAAAATTGAAATGTGCAACATTTATTTGAAAATTTGCAAAATAAAAAATTTTGATTTTTATAACAAAAAACTGTTGAAACAAAACTTAAAATTTTTTTGATTATATCACATTCTTAAAATTGGTTTTTATTCAACAAAATCATATACAAAAAAAACACCTCAAACTAACAACAAATAAGCATAATTAAACTCAAAATTATGGAACCTCCTTACTAGGCGCACGCAAAAAGAACCTGAGATTACTGCGAAAAATTTTTGAAGCCGCTTGACCTATTTCTAGAGATTGCGGCCTATTTCTTTAATTAATGCTAATTAATTAATTATAATTAATTAATTGCCTACCTAAATAATTATAATTAATTAGTTATAATTGATTGATTAATTAGCGGTTTGTTGATTAATTAGTTAATTAGCCATTGCATGAATTGGGTAAGAAACTATCGGGGTCACATTTAAAAAATTGAGCTATTCTGTATGCGATCAGTGATTCATAGTGATAACTATTCAATCGATTCAAGAGAGATTGAGTAATAATCGTTCAACTTGTTTTGGAAATTAATCCCAAGTGAATTATCCGTTGATCCCTTAATAATCAATTCATCCGAATCCCGAACTTGTCGTCAAATTGGTTCATCCATCCTCCAATTGACCCATCTATCTCTAAATTAAATCATTTGATCAATCAAATTCTTCCCGATCCAGTATGGACGGATTACAAGGTGTCGTGGAAGGACTTCACCTTCAACTCTCCAGGCCAGACGACTTATGCACCTGCCGCGATGAACATCTACTCATGGTTCGCAGGTAGAGCCTACAGAGTCTGTTTTGACAGGTTCACTCTGGAGTATACTGACGCCTGTGCTCATCTGCAGATAAGGTTGGCTGGCTGTCTGGTTGGCTGGCTGTCTGGTTGGCTGGCTGTCTGGTTGGCTGGCTGTCTGGTTGGCTGGCTGTCTGGTTGGCTGGCTGTCCGGTTAGCTGGTTAGTCGGTCGGCTGATTGATTTCTTTGTGGATTAATTAACTTGTTATCTGGTTGGTTGGTCGGATGGTTGACTGATTGAATTTTAAACTATTATCACAAAACAATCAGTATGCCCGTAAATTGATCATTCAATTCTACAGCATGTCAAAATCCTTACTTACCAACGTTACAAGAGACAAAGTCCTATCCATCAAAGATTTTCCTTCCACAAAAACTCCATTGTCTTCTTTTTTGAAAAAATTTGTTCTTAAGTAAGCTTTTATGTGTCATAAATTTACACACCTTTTTTTTCTCAAATGATTTTAATAATAAAAATTATTATTATTATTGTATTTATGTTATTTATGATCGTTATGTTGGTTATCTACCTTCAATGTGTTACTCAGAAGTACCAACAACACATACGCCCTCACACATACACGTACGCACACCCATACATAGCCTATATGAAAACTATCACACCATTTATCTTAAACGTTTCAGCGACCAGAGTACATGTTCTTCCTTCCAATTCGTTAGTCTTCCTATGTGCTTGAGTTCCAATTTTTGTTAGTTCAGTTTCTTTCTTTTTTTAGGTTATATTCCGAGTTGTTTTTGATGTTTTTTTTGCGAAGTTATGTTTCTCTTATCACGGATTTTATTGCTTAAGTGAGATTTGATGTATCTCATCTACTTAGTGTTACTCGCGGTGTTTTTCGGTCCGGTTGTTATCGTTGACTGATTACAATAGCAAGTTTGTAAACCTTACTCTATCTGGCCTCTGACCGTCGACTTTTTACAACAACAAATTTGTAAACCTAACTTTAGTGAAATAAAAAAAAATTAAAAACCCATCCACCGCAGACTGCGGAATGAGAATGGTACAACCTCCACTCAGAAGCACCAACATCGTCAACGGCAATCAGGCCCCCATGGGAGCCTGGCCCTGGTTCGCCATTGTCAAAGTTATGGGAATGAGAATTTGTGGTGGGGTTATCGTTAGTTACCTCAGTGTTATGACGTCAGCCAGTTGTCTCGGGTTAGATAGGGGAGGTATTTTAATGATGCAATGATGAGGATGTACTGATGTATCTTTACGATGGCCATACAGATGAGCAACAACTTTTCGTCACCTAATCTAATCAATACTTGAATTAAATAAAAAAATAGAATTAAATTTGAAGCAGTTTTTAAGTTAATCTTATTTTATATTAATTCCTAAACAATGGCAAGAACGAGTCTTCGTTTTAGATAGAACAACACATGATAACTAGCTATTTAGAGCTGGAAAAAAATAACAAATAAAAAAGTTATAATCCAAATGACCTTGATATTGATTTATTCAGAACGATATACAACCAGCCGATATCAGCCGAGGCAGTGGCCATATTTGTGGGCACCAACAAAATGGACGGGTCATCGGGCCAAGGAATTCGAGTTTCCAAAATTTTTATCCATCCGGATTTCGATCCGTCGTCTGGCATGAACGACATCGCCATCCTCCAGATGGACCATTCCATAATGTTTGATGACAACGTCCAATCCATCTGTCTGCCGGATTTCGTGCATGATCGTAATCTGTCCATGTCCCAGTTTAAATCCTGTTACATTGCCGGGTTTGGAGCCAACAGAGCTGGTCCGTGTAGTTTTTTTTTTTATTAATTATTGATTCAGAATTTCTAATTTTTAGCCGAGATGTAACCCACATAGTATTACTCTAACATACACGTTCGAATATAAATGGTTCAATTTTGCTATATTTGTTTCTTGTAGCAATAGAACAGATTGATTAAATAAGCTTATTTATGAATGTAATGTACGTTGAGGACTTGATACAATGTGAAAACATATTCAGGTAACTTAAATTACTCTTCTCAACGTCTCTTAAACGTCATTCACAGTTGAATTCAAATACAATTCAATCGCATCTTCAAATAAATAAATATTTCCAAAAACTCGTGTAAAATTTCGTCACCAGGCGGTCCTCAGTCGAAAGTTTTGTTGCAGGGGCGGGTGAACCTACTGAGCCATCGGGAGTGCATCAGCCACCTTTACAATATGACCACGGCCCCATTCAAGCAGTACGTCAACTATACTACCCACATTTGTGCCGGAATTTACTCAAATTCGTACGGATCCAACATGTGTGAAGTTAGTAATCAGGAATAGCCGAGGTATCGGAGTCGGTCGGAACCTTTGCCCAAGTCGGAATTTTCCTCCGATTCCAGTGGCAGATCTTAGTGGAGCCTAATTTTGGCCATATTAGTGAATTTCTTGATCCGCCCCGTCTAATTTCATAAAATGTCAACATTTTTTAAATTTTGGCTGTCTAGATCCGCCACTGTCCGATTCTGACACTCTGGTGGTAATATTAATTAAAGTAACAACTACAATAATATTTATTCCTATTGGTGTCGACGACAACAACCTTAATGTCGTTGTTATCATAAAAAAGAATTAATGTATTGTCTGCTTTGCTATAATCGTCAACAAAATCAACATTATCACTTCTTATCACTAGCAATTACATCTTACAGTTATCATCATTAAGTTACATCATCAAAATCTTTATCGCTAACAAAATGCTGAGTAATTTTTATAATCCATTTATAAACCTCAAGATATTTTTCATAATTATACTTAAATAAAATTTCTAGGGTGACGAGGGAGGTCCCCTTATGTGTGAGACGATTACTTCCAAGTGGGTTCTTGTAGGGATATCCACCAGACACCCTGGCCAGAGCTGCAAGAGTAGTGTCTTCTCCAGGGTTTCGAGTTTTATCCCGTTCTACACGCAACTCAAAGTGGACACTGGGTTTATGTAATAGGTTTCTGAACCAAGCTGAAGAGTAAAAAATGGCTTTTGGTTTGATGAGTTTTGGTTTTTTAATATTTGGTCAATTATTTAAAGATTTTTTTTTCTTCAAATTTGGGTTTATTGGTTTTTTTCTATTTTAATGAGTGAATAGCGAGTTGTAATGCTGATGAGTAAAATTTATTACGGAGAAGTTTGTTTTTTAAGAGAATGTTTGGTAAATTTTTATATCCACTTGACGATTTGCTGAACTGATTTGGTTGGAGTGATAAAATGGAGTTTTGTGGTAAGGCGTCCGGTCCTGTCTTCAGTGATCGGATTCAAATGCTTAAAGGTTTCCACTCTACAGCTACCTTCTATTACGTATCTTACATCAAAATACTTTTCTCTACCGTTTTATCTGTTTAAATTAAGCGTAGATTAGCATAATCAATTAAAAATAACATTCAATTAATTAATTAATATTGATTAACAATTGATGTTAATTATGTTGCCATTCGGCCAATTATACTTTTATACTTTTATACCTAACCAATGTACCTTCCTAATTTAATCCCAATTTCTAAAGCCGTGCCACTTACATTTTTGAATAATAATCGTTAGATGTGTTTAATTTCATTGTTTGTGTGTAATTTCACACACACACACGCGCACACACACACACGCGCGCAAACAAACACACAAACGTACATACAATATAATAATCGTTTTATCGGCATATTAACACGATTCATTCATTCACATTACCGATATGAGGTGAGGTTCGTTACAGATTAACTTTTTATATTATAATATAGATAGATACATATATGTATGCTAAATAATGTTACTTACCACAAGATGAAGAAGACAATGATCACATGGCACGTATCAGGTTCACTCATATCATGTTTGATGCTTGATTCACTGTGCATATTTTAGATTACAGTTTGTTGCTTTTGCTGTTGTTGATAACTGTCAGAAACACTAGACAGTAAAAAAGAGTAATTAATACTGCTATATAATTTGATCTAATTAACATTTAGCTAGCCTGTGCTAATTACACCATATACTTAGAATCTACTAATATCTAGCATGATATAAAGCATGTTAAGGTACTGCAAGAGCTCACTGGGTTCGGTAGATCATTTGACATGGGCCTCACAGTTTAGTGAGCTTTTTAAAACGAAATTAAAGGAGTCTCTAAAAAATGTGTGGGTTTTTGAATTGTCTCGTGTTATCTGCTGACTCAATATGACTGCATATCATGATGATTCTTGCTCGTGTTCTGAACATGCCATGTTATCAATGATGAACTTACTTACGTGTAGCATTTTTATATGTTCAATTAATGAAATAAATGGACGTTTTTGTTCACAAAAAAAAGATTTTTCAATTTATTTAAATTTCAAAATTCAATTAGGACCGAATGAAAAATTTTTATTCAATAAAACTGATGGAATTTAATTAATTGAGATTATAAGATCGTATGAAATCATGGACTGAAATAGCCTAATCGAAATGTAATAATATTTATTGGAGAGGAAGAAAGCGAGAATGCATTTTAAAAATGTAGAAATAAAATACATTAATAAACTTTTCTCAGTGGCAAGATCTCATACAATGTTAAGTATGTTAACTCCCAGAAATATAGTTCAATTCTTATACTAGAAAAGTTTCAAAATCAACACTAAATCGCTTAAATATTTCAGAATTCAAATATCTAAAAAGTACGCTCTAGATAAATTAACTAAAACACCTGAGCGCGTTCACTTTTAGTTGAAATAGAAACCTTCATGACGTATTATTAACATAGATACATAATAATACGTAGATAAATTAACTGTATACCTAGATACTATAAATTGAAAATACACACATAGATATATAAATGATATACATAAAAATATACACTATATAAATAAACTAGATATAAAATGTACACAAAGATATTATAGTTGTATATATATATATAATATAGTTATATATATATATATATATATATACAGAATTAATTTTCAATAAAATACAATACAATAATGCATACATGATTCATAGAATACTACATAATAATAAACATGCACCTAACTCATCTGTACAAATTAATTTCGCATCAATGATATATGGCTACTATATAACACTATGTATGTGTGTACATACAATCATACATACATACATACATACATACATACATACATACATGCATACATACATACATACATACATACATACATACATACATACATACATACATACATACATACATACATACATACATACATACATACATACATACATACATACATACATACATACATACATACATACATACATACATACATACATACATACATACATACATACATACATACATACATACATACATACATACATACATACATACATACATACATACATACATACATACATACATACATACATACATACATACATACATACATACATACATACATACATACATACATACATACATACATACATACATACATACATACATACATACATACATACATACATACATACATACATACAATCATGCATATATACTTATATACAAACATATTCTTATATATGGTTATAAACATATGTCACTATATATATATATATATATATATATATATATACAAATGAATGAATATGTATAGTATTGGTATCAAAGTGTCATTTTAACCGTTTTATTCCTTTATTCGTTCATTCGATCACTCTTGCTCTTGGTGAACGTATGTCGGTGAGTATATATGGGTTTTTATGGTTAAGCCAAAAATGCAAACACAGACGCACACACACACACGCACATACACAAATATAAATATATATGTATATACATACATGTTATATTTTTTATCTCATACTTACGATGTGTGTAGAATTGAAGTATTGAGAAAACTGACTTGAGTTGAGAAGACGTTCGTTGCATGTCTTTCATTTTTATGCTTCTAGTTAGTATTATATTTATTTAACTCCGTAATAATAATAATAATAATAAAAATATTTATAATAATAATTATAATAATTATAGTAATAATTATAATAATAATAATTGTAGTGATGACAATGACAACATATTAAACATTTTAGAATGAATTAAATAGAATTGCGTATAAAACCATAATACAACTTCTACTACTAATAATACTAATAATAATAATAATTATTATTATTATAATTATAATAATAATTATTATTATAATTATAATAATAATTTTTATTATTTGGTATGTTGTGATGAAACGCTATTAAACTCAACGAACAAAAGGATACAATTATTAATGATACTTCAACTACTGATTGAAATAGTGTTGATCAGTTTTGGATGATACCAACAACAGCAACAACAACAACAACAACAACAACAGCAACAACAACAACAACAATAAGAATGACAATATTCGGTATTGGATTAGCTTAACCTCCTCTTCTAACTTCTTACTGCTAGTATGTTGGTGTGTTTGGTTACTTGATGATAATGATTGTAATGATGATGATGACGATGATGATGATGATGATGACGATTATGATGAAACGAATGTGCCTCGACATTATAATGTACCGAGTAGCCAGTTTGGTCGAAAGTCGAATCGTTGAACCGAACCACTATTCGCTGGAATATAGCCCACAATTTTGAAACTTTTTCAATTTGTTATATACATACATGCATACATACATGCATACATACATGCATGCATACATACCTACATACATACATACATACATACATACATACATGCATGCATGCATGCATGTATGTATGTATGTATGTATGTATGTATGCATGCAGAAAATAAAAACCTGAAAATGTTGATGATCTTTTTTATCATAAAAGTTTGGATAAAAGAGAAAGAGAGAGAGAAAGGACAAGAGAGAGAGAGAGAGAGAGAGAAAGAGAAAGAAAGAGAGAGAAAGTTTATGTAGTAGTAGTAGTAATTGAAATTCTTTAAATTCCACCAGTTAGTTTAGTTGACTGTGATTTGAGTTCAGAATACAAATTAGGTGTACGTGTTTATGTGTGTGTGCGTTTGTATGTGTGTGTGCGTTTGTATGTGTGTGTGTGTGTTGT